AGAACACGCCCAGCCTACGGACACAGACGCAAACGGAGAAGAGCAGGAAACCAAAGAAAAGATGCTCACCCTCCCAACCCGCATCTTCCAAGAACCCCGCTCCCTCCTCATCACCAGGGGGCGTGCATACAGGGATCTCATGCACGGTATCGCGTCGATCGAGGTTGACGAAGCTTTGAACGCCGAGACGGTGGCGAATTGGGGGTTGTTGAGTGAAGAAGGGAAGAAGGGGGTTGAAGAGAATGGAGGGAGGAATGTGAGGGGGACGAGGGTGAGTTTGACGTATAGGGATGTTATTAAGGTTAGTAAGGCTGCGAGTAGGGTTTTAGGTGGGATGGGTAGGCGGTAGGGGGTAGGATGGATGAAGAAGAGATGTGGATGGTGGGTGGATATTTGAACGTGTTTAATGATCTTTCGTGATACAACAAAGGAAATGTCAACTACACTTATATACACCACTCTCTCTTACTCAGCGCATACCCGCTCACAACATCTCCACCAAATCTTCAACCAGCAAGCCCCCTACTGCTGATTCTTAGCCGGCCTATAATGCCCCGCCAACTCCACATCCTCCGTACTCCTATCACTCTCCCTCCTCTCCTCCTGCACCTTATCCGTCCTCTGCGCGTTCTTCGCCCTAACCGCCTTCTTCCTCCTAGCCTCACCCACAACCATCGCCGCAACCCACACCAGCCACATAACCGCCGCAATAACACCATACGCAATCGCGCCATCGCGCGAATTATCCGCGAGCAACAATCCCAAACCGCCGTTGATCATACCAAGCGTGATAGCAATACGTCCAACCCAGATATGAGCGTAGGAAGTAAGAGTACGACGTTGCGTCTTCTTGAACAAGATGTGATGTAGGGTTCCGAGGAAGGGCATGAAGAAGACGAGGCAGAAAACGAGGATACCGATGATGGCGTGGTAGCTGCTGATGTAGTGACCTCCGCTGATGGGAAGAGCGAGCCAGATACCCATTCCGAATGCCGCGATGTAGACCATGTACGCCAAGATCTGGAAGCCAGCGTGCAGCCATACGATACCTGGGAAGGAGGCGAGGCGGATTGCGATGGCACCGGATGGGAAGAGGATGACGAAGGCGAGGGAGGCGAGGACGCCGTGCGCGATGAGCATGGTGCGCTTCTTGGAGGGGCTGACGGAAGCGCCGGAGCTGATGGTTTGCACGGAGTTTCCGCCTGTGGCGCCGCCGTTGGGGAGGGTGTCGCAGTAGGGGAGGTCGTCGTCGTCGTCTTTGCCGCCCTTATCGGGGGAGGGGGAGCGCTTGTCTCCTGGGGGACCGTTGGGGCGCGATGTAGGACGAGAGGTTGGGCGGCCATAGTTGTCGTCATCGTCGTCGTCGTCGTTGCTGCTGGTCTGGCTTGGCCTGGCGTTACCTGTGCCTGCGGCGCCGGAGGGGCGCTGGCGGCAGTTGGTAGGTGTTGCGCCGCCTGTTGTGCCGGTTGGTGAGGTGTTGACGAGGGGGTTTACACTTGAACCGCCCTTTGCTTGGGCGAACTGCCAGTCGAAGACACCTTGGTTGGAGTGTTGGTCAATTCGCGCAGAGGTGGAGTCGTCGTTCTTGGGTCCGCCGGAGGATTGGTAGGCGAAGATCCAGCTCCCGCTGTTTCTGGTGAAGTCCATGGTACCGCCAGACCAGGAGTTGCAGTTTGAGCCTGCGTCACGTGTTAGTTTGTGTTGTTATCGTTGTATTCGTCAAACTTACATCTCACGTTCGCGGTCATGACACCGTTTGAAACACCAGATCCTTCAAGCAGAGTGACTTGAGCCGCATCGTTAGGGCTCGGGGGCTGGTAGCTAGTAGTTGATCGCGGTGATAGTGTAACATTGTTGCCAGATCCTGAAGTGTATACAACGAAGATGTTGGAGTTGGGCATGCCGCTGCCTTGGCCGAGCGCAACCCACTCATAGTTGCTTGGGGCTGATATCTGGAAGAAGATGTCTCCCGATCCGGATGATGCCGTGCGCTCGGGGATGTTGAGGCCATAGCATACTCCAGTAGAAGGACAGACGCTGGCTACTTGCGCTGTGGCTTGGGAGGCTAGATAGGGTTAGCACCGTGGTAAGATAAGGCTGTTGTTTGGGGCTTACCCAGAGCCAAGAGGCCCATGACCAAACTTGTTGTGCGCTTCATCTCTTGTGCTCTGAAACTGCAAGGTCGTTGAATGATGCTGAACACTCGAAGTTGCCAAAGGGCTCGATGTTTAAGGCTAGTCGACAGCGCCTAGCTGAAAGCGTGGCTTGATGGCGTCGTCTCTAGAGGCGATCACGAAGCTATTGATCTGAGTTCAGGTAGCCAAACCAATAGGAGGAGATGTCTTGAGGTGAGTAAGGGATATGCAGTTCGATAGTGATTCGGCAGCAGAGGACAAAGAGGTTTATAGATGGTGGAGCCCGGATCACCCGCCTTCCAAGATACAGCTCCAAGCCCCCAAGAGAGATGCTGACAGAAGCATGGCTACGTACACGCAACCTGGCTTAGTTTGGTGGAGGTAGGTACCTCGCAGGCACAGGTGAACCCAACGGTATTACTGCTGATGTGTGGTTGGACAAGCCTGGCCGAATGCGGCGGCTTTGCGGAGAGCCGTCAGTCACCGGCTGGGCATAGCAAAACACCGTGAGGACCTCGCGATATGACAACACAACTTGTGCAAGCAGTACGCGTCACGAACGCCAGAGGGCCGCGATAACAAGTGAGATCTCCCGCCTGTACATGGTGCAGGGTCTGGCGCAGAGAGGTGGTACCAGTGAGGGCCAGCGGACTCAACGTTCGGCGCGGCTTGGCTGGACGCGTCGTGGTGGCTATGTGCAGGGCCAAACAAGTAAGTTGCATCCGGACGAATGACACGCCAGCTATTTTGCAAAAGTAATGTCCCGGCGCGGGGGCACGCTGGGAACGGCGGGCATGTCAGTTCACGTAAGGTTGGGAACAGGTGTGGTCTCGACGGTCGCGGTCTTGGTGCCCGCTCTTGTGGGCCCTCCTGTCCCGCACGTCCCTCGCCTTGGATCTCCCAACACCCAATTCCAGCGACCGCAATTCCAAGACATGTCAGCAACATGCGTCGAGATCCAGACTCCCATGACTTCATCCTCAAGCTGGGCACACTCTCACAGGAGCATGCTGTCCAGGCTGTGCTTGTTATCGTCAGCCCTCGGTCATCGGCCTAGTCGGAATTCCCATCGGAGATTCGGCCTGTTTCTCATATTACGGTGTATACGCGACATTATTACCACTGCATGGAGTTGCCTTCTACTTTGGGATCCATCGCACTGCAGCTGCATGAAGTCCGGTCGGTTTCACGTGGCGCTGTTCATGTCTCGATAGGCGCAGGCTGGTGGCTTGCAAGCGTGGCAGCCTCAGCCCTGAGGGACCGCGTCAGCTCGGAGCGCGAAACCTTGGATTCCAGGAAGTAAAATCAACACCATCGGCGTCTTCTGGCAAGAATCACCGAGGCATCACGACGCCAAGCTAGCTGCTTTCTCTCAGCATACGTCGATGATGAGTTATCGACATCTTGTTGCGGGGTTGCTCGATCGCGAGAGCCTTTGGAGTTAGGTGTGAGGGCCGATAGTGAGTTGTCGCACGAAGTCAGCACCCGCCGCCCCAATCTTTCACATCAATCGTCTCACCTCCGCGCACCTCGCCGTCTCCTCGCAGTTTGTGCTCGAGTGCACGTTTCTCTTCTCGCGTGCATTTCACGATCAGTGTGTTTTTCGATTCGGTTGTTTTCCTCTCCTTGCACCGACAAAGGCCCTTTTCCTCATCACAACAATTTTGCAGCAATCACGTGTTGTCTCTTGCACTGCCACTTCCAAGTTTCTTACTCACGCAGCCAATCAACACCCCGGCAGCGTATGTCGGTCGGGCAAGGGCCGAGAAATCTGGGGTATTACCGTCCGCTAAGGAGTAACATCCGGCGGTAGCGGTAGCGAGCAATGAGCATCATACGATGCCTGCGATTCCAAATTCACAGATTGCTGCGCCTCAGGCTTAGAGTGTATTGGGAGTGAAGCTGCCAGAAGAAGAGCTAGGCTGACAACTACAAGGCTGTGGTTGGTGGAAGCTCATGGCGGGTAGTTCATCTCCTCGTACATCGTCAAAGTGCTGTACAGTCATAATTGTGACTTCCTTAGTCATGGTCGACATCAGGAAGGTACATCTCTATGTGTCGTTGTGGTCACCGCACATTGCTCGGCGTGACGGCGTGTCTCCATCTACGCCACGGTCGAATTTCATCAACGAGCACTCCACCTTCTCCTTCTGAAGACCAGGTTCGGCGATTTGAGTCTTTGAGAAAGTCAGAGGCGGTGAGTAGTTCTCCTTCCGTCGAGATTCGAGCGTTATGCTTTGGCCAACTCTCCCAGTCGTCGCATGTACCTACTTCTTCAGTTCTGACATTTTCGTCCGTGCTACGATCAGGGCTAGCGGGTACCTGTCCCTCTGGAAAAGACCCTTTGAGTTTCGGAGTGTCTTCCGCACGTGCTATTGACTTTCACTTCGAACTTATTAGACGGATGCCGAAAACCAAAGCCGCTCGACGAGATCGCATAACGTCTAAACACCAGAGATCATTGTACGCGATGCACCTGATGTGTCCAGACCAGACTGGGTAGTCTGCTATATGTTCCCCGCATTCTTGCCTTTTCTCCGAGCTGCATGTTGTACGTATATTAGCGATCATCCGGCAGCTGCATTTAGCCTTCGGTATAGTAACACCCAGGCACACCCAAGGTCGCCCACGTCACCAGAGAGTTCCTTCTCTCCGCAGTCATAATTTGCGTCCAGAGTACCTTAGGCGTCATCCTCATATGTGCTGAGAGATGGCGTACCGTACGATAGATGAGATGTCGCCAGGTGCACAGCATGAAGACAACTTAAGACGGCCGGCTCCTTGGTCCTCACACCGAAACGTAACCGAAGCATAACCATAGCTTCGCTCATAGACAGGTACCTCCACCACATCGCAACCACCACAATGTTCCTCCCCATCCTCCTCTCGGTCGCCGGCCTGTTCACGACGACAGCCGCCCAAACCACCAACCCCCCAATCCGCTACATGCCCTTCGGCGACTCCATAACGGAAATAATCTGCTGGCGTTCCAAGCTCTGGCAACGCCTCCAGACCACGCCCTTCAACTCCTCCACCGTCGACTTTGTCGGCAGCGGCAAAACAGAAAACAACTGCCGCGACACGACCTACGACCGCGACAACGAAGGCCACTCTGGTTTCCTCGCTATCGATATCGCAAACAAGGGCCAGTTGGATGGGTGGCTGAAAAGTAATCCTGCAGATGTGATCACGATGCATTTGGGCACGAATGATATTGTGCAGCAGAATAAGGCGGTGGCGGATATTATCAAGGCGTTTGGGACGTTGGTGGGGAGTATGAGGGGGGCGAATCCGAGGATGAAGATTGTGGTGAGTTTGTTCTTTTTCATACTTGCCTGTGTATCTGTGTAAGATGTGCTGTTGTACAAGCGCCGTCTCGTCGCGTCGCATGCTTCTGGGCTCCGCGCTGTAACCTGAAGTCTTTTCGCGAGTAATCTTGGGTGGTCTTATCGTATACCAATCGCTTACTCACTCACCTTCGTAGGTCGCGCAAATCATCCCCATGGGCTTTGGCAGCTACAACACCAAGATCCAAGATCTGAATCGCGCAATCATTCCTTGGGCTCAGGGTCTCAATACGACGGAAAGCCCCATCTGGGTTGTGGACCAGTATACGGGGTTCAGTGGGACGGCGGATTTGAGGGATGGAATACATCCGAATGATAGTGGGGATGTCAAGATGGCGAATGTATGGTTCCCGGCGGTTGTCAAGGCTTTTGAAGCGGTGAGGGCGGATAGGGGCACAGCAGTTGGTATGGTTGAGAGGGAGTTTGTTGGGTAGATGGTGACAGTGTCAGAGGACAGCAAGGTGTGAGACTGTGTAGTGAAGGACCACATCATGCAACTACCATCCACGAATGCATGAAGTTTAGTTCTGCATGTTCGTCGTAGGTCAATCGCGACCAGGCGAGACGATTGCACGTGACGCTAGCGCCATGACCTGACGCTAAAATCTCCAGCGTGGGGCAGCGGCGCCCAAATTGTCAACTCCCCGACTCGAAGGCGCATCAACAAATAACAGCACTCAGGTCCACCGCCTGCAACGCCACCCCTTCACCACGGACACTTCGGGCTGCATGCTTTTATCTCGTCGCTGATCGCCCAAAACAAACCCTTAGACGCCTGCACATAGATAGCCGCCATGGGAGAATCAAGGTAGGCACCAGGCCCGAGGGGTTAGGCTGCGGCCATCTGCGCAGACACCTTCACCACGACCACACACTGACAGCGCCACGTGAACAGACAAGAACTCGTCGCCTGGTTGAACAACCTCCTCCAGCTCAACATCACCAAAGTCGAACAATGCGGAACCGGGTACGTTACGCGCGCCGAGGATAGAGGGGCACCCCTGGCCTTGAGGACTGAGGACGTGTACTGACATGGCGGACAGAGCAGCGCTGTGCCAAGTCTTCGACAGCATATTCTGTAAGTCCTTCGCCTTACCTAGGCGCGGATGAGATTAAGACTAACAGCGTGCAGACGATGTGCCCATGTCGCGAGTCAAGTTCAATGCGAACACTGAGTACGCATACCTGCAGAATTTCAAGGTATTACAGAGTACGTCTGCCTTCCCACCGTCCAAATTCTCCGCTAATAATCCAGACACGTTCGCCAAGCACCATGTCGACAAGCCCATCCGCGTCGAGTCGCTCGTAAAGTGCAAGATGCAGGACAACCTCGAGTTCCTCCAATTCGTCAAGCAGTACTGGGACCAGCATTTCCCCGGCCACGAGTACGACCCCGTCGCCCGCCGCAAGGGTCAGGGCGGTGTCGCGACCGGAGCCACACCTGCACCCCGCGCCGCAGCATCGACTGCTCGAAGAGCACCAGCTGCTAGCAACACGGCTGCGCCTAGGACACGCACACCGCTTGCCTCTGGGGGAGGAGCCGCCAGCGCCGCTCTGCGCGAGGAGAACAGTGCTCTCAAGGAGACTGTCACGGGCCTCGAGCGCGAGAGGGACTTTTACTTCAGCAAGCTGCGCGACATTGAATTGCTGATCCAGCAAGCAATGGAGGCCGACCCCGAGCTCGAGAAGGACGAGGGGCTGCTCAAGCAGATCCAAAACATTCTCTACTCTACCGAAGAGGGTTTCGAGATCCCACCAGAGGCTGAGGGCGAGGGTGCGGAGGAGGAGACGTTCTAGCCGAGCGTCAGTACTCTTTCTGATGCTCCGACAGCCAGTTCAGACGTGCAGCTTGACAACATTATCTCCGCTGCGCATATGTTATTGGAAGCGGCCAAACGGACGAAGACTCGTCGATCTGCGGGGCTCGATGGACCTACAGAACACGCTGAAAGTACTGGACCTTCCAATCTCCTCGTATCCGCAAAGCCTGTGAAGTATACACCGTGTGCGGTGCCCATTGCCAATCTTTCAGGCTCTTTTATGTTCGTCTCAGAGCCCACTCGAGTTGTTACTGCACAGTCTGCTGAGTCGTCGGAGAGTGAAGTGTTCTAAAGGTGGGTATGGTCATGATTGCATTTGGAAGCGAGGATACCATCTTTCTAGGGAGTTTATCTCTCTATTGTTCAATACACGATGTTTATGAGTTGTGTTGGACACCAGAATGTGTGGAGTGTGCTCCGTTGATGAAGAAGCTGGGCGCAACTTTACTCCTCCAAACGTTCCGTCACTGACTCTACAAGTTGACCATGCTCAGCCAGCGCACCGTCTCTTCGCGTTTCCTTGTATCTCAGTCTTCACGCCCATCGCACATACCACGAGCATGATATCACTCACCAAACCTGCCTACATACCCAAACCACAGTGCTCAACTTACGGCTCCGGAGAGGTTGATCGATCCAGCACTTTCGTGCAACATCTTTCTGGTTGTCCTACTCCTCGTTGCTCAGTGCCTCTGCCGCTACGCGTCTGGTACACACAATCCCTCCACTGTGTAACTGTGACCAAATCTCCCCACTCACCTCACTTCATCTCTTCCCCACTCCCTTCCTTCAACAGCACTTTCACCGCCGCCGGCTAGACAAATCTCTCTTAATCTCTCAGTAAACCCATGACTCTGATTGTCGTCACTCCAATTACCACAACGCCAGTGATCCACATCCCCCCTACCGTTCGTTTGTACCTTGAGTACCAGCCAACCACGCCTTCTCCGCACTCACCGCAATCGCGACTTCCCCACGATCTTGACCCCGCAACCAGGGCCGCGACTGCCTCACCGAGTGCCTTCACCTAAAGACGCGCGGTCTGGCGTCGCTTCCCCGGATCCTTTTACCTCTGCGCGTTTGCACCAGATAACCACGTAACTTGCTCAGGTTTGGAGGACGGTAAGCGGGCGTTATAAACAGCTCGCTCGCCCTTTATCCTTTTGTCCCTCCTTCGTCAATGCTATTCGGGTTGTTCAAGCAGAACAAACCAGACGCACTCACTCACTCTCACTTCACTCACCCACCAAACCAGACCATCGCACGCACATCAACCACTCACTCCATCCACCCGCACCCACTGCACCAAACCATCTCACACACCACACCAACACCACCTTCCCTCCTCGCACCCACGACTCCAACTCACAAATCCCCGCCAAAAATCTCACCACCAAAATGTTCGCCACCATGCTCACCACTATTCTCCTATGCGCCCTCTTGGGAAGCGCCGCGACCAGCGCCACGTCCACACCCAGTCCCACCACCACCGCAGACCCCAGCGTCCAAACCCAAGTCCGCGCCCAAACCTTCAAAGAAGCCGAGTGCGGCGGCGCCTACGAGTTCCTCTGGATTGATCCAAATGTCTGCTATGGGCTTTCTGATGGGGTGAAGAGCATCAGGGTTGTGGGCAAGGATGGGGAGATCAAGTATAACGCTCGTACGTCTCCATTCCACGCACTCTTGATTGAAGTGGGCTAACGTTGGTTGTCATAGTCAACACCTACCCCAAGCCCGATTGCGGCGGCGGTTTCACTCTTCTCCCGATCTACGGCACCAAGACCTGCTTCTCTATTGATCTTGATGTGTCTATCAAGTTGAGCATTGGTCAGGATCCTTGAAGTGGTTCTCGTCTGGGTGAGTCTTCCGCTGTTCGTTGCTACCAAGTCTCGATGTTGTCGACGTGGGTGCTAATGCGTTCAGTGCGCTGCTTACGAGGCGGTTGGGGCTAGCTAGTCCTTGCGGATTGGTGGAAGAGGATGAAGACGATGGGTATGAGAGATTGTGATACGGGCTTCTGGTATGGCAAGAGAGTGGGCGAGAAGGAGTTGAGTCTCATCCAGCACTATCCAACCACAGGCCTCACCACGATAGACTCACTGACAATCCGAGGAGCAAAAATAAAATTATGGCATTCAAACTGCACCTAATATCTCCCTTCAATCATGACCTACACCACACCACCATCAATCCTTCCCCAGCTTCCGCCACCCCTCTCTCTTCCCTGTACATCCTTCCCACCTCCGCACCTACGCCTTCCCCCAGCCAGGTCACTAAAAAGAGTAAAAAAGAAGGCAAAAACATACAACAGCGGGGATTCGCTAGTGGTCACCCACCTAACTACTAATCCGCCGGTATCATGCTTGTATATGGCTGAGCGGACGGGAAGCCTAATTTTCATGATCCTATGGTCGTATGTGTCAGTCATGGAAATATCCAACAATACAACATCATGTTTTGCGACCTGGAGGCTCTTGGGGAGCTGGGCAGCTCTCACCAGGGCACTACCCCGGGGAAATACCAAAACGGCGCTATACGAGATCACTCTACCGATATTAGCCTAATCTTCAGCGTTACTACATACACGGGCTCGTGCGAGTAGAGCCAAGTCTCTATACCCCGAAACATCGCAGACTGAAACGCGCGAAGTGAGAAAGAGAGCGGACGACGGACATTTTGCCCAACATGGCGATTTGTTCGTGTAATCGTTTTTTCTACCTTTGGACTAGCGAGATGGGATGATGAGACGTTTGGAAGATGGAGCTGGGGGAGTACTTCTTCGCAGTGCATATATAGAGGTCTGTTTGTCCACGGCGAAGAAAGCACCATCACCACTACCATCTTCACTACCTTCTTCACACACACCAACGACTCCGGAAGTCACATCACACCACCCTCACCACCCATCCTTCCACCAACCACCATCCCCCCTCAACCACCATGCGCTCAACCTCCTTCTCCCTCATCACAGCCCTCGCCCTCGTGGCCACTGCTGTCATCGCATCCCCAACACCACAACGCGGATCCAACCCCGCACCCGGCAGCCCGGTCGACCCCGGCGTCAGAGTCCCCAAGGGAACTTTCTGCACAGCATCAAACGATCCAGACGTCATTGGGTGCAACACGGGCGATGGCGGCACCTTCAATGTCATCAATGGAAAGATCAGTGGGTGTGCTGGATGTACGCCTGAGAATGGGTTTGGGAAATAGAGTTGGAGGGGTTGGAGGGATGGATGGGGTTTGGGGGAAGGAGCAAGGGAGGCGAGGGGCTTGTAGCAGATATCAGCACAATCTGTATAGCTGCTACGTCTAGCCTTCCTTCTCGCCATGGTCATCGTTTTTACTCGAACATAAGAGATGAATAAAGTGACATTTGGGTATCTGGAGGGTTTCGCTGCCAACACTGCGCATTCTAAGTCCTTAAGCCACAGGAACCTTCTCTGTCTGACTAATTATGTACCAAGCGTGAATCACACCGGGGATCCAGCCCAGGATGCAAAGTGCGATGTTGATGAAGAGGTCGGCGGCGCAGCCGCGCTTCATGGCGACGGGGAGGAAGGGGATCCATATTGCGAGGAAGTAGAGGAGGACTGTGGACTGTGATCGTTAGCAAGGGTTCTTGAGTGGTTTGGGGAAGGGCAACGTACTGTGGATGATGGCATTGTGTGATGTCGGGTGTGATTGATTTCGTGGTCGTGAGAGGATATTCTGTTTCTCTCTCGTGAAGACTTTCTCGGAGTCGTAGCAGGCTCAAAGACTGAAGGTGTGGCTGTATCTGTGGCTGAACAGAAAAAAGTGGGCGAACCTCTCACGTCTTTAACTGCTACCTCTGTCCCTGCTACCAACTCGAAGCAGCTTACGACGCAGACAAGGACCGAATGCCGGGCGCCGGCGCCTTTTTCATTCCTGCCATTGGTCTACAAGGCCGCAATAACCGCTTACCATGATTTTATTCCTGGAGTGGGCAGCGAATGAGACAATCATGCGCCACAGTGACGATGCATGTTGTGGCGCAGGTATCAGCGCGCCGACCGTGCGCCGTGGTGTTGAGGCTAAACCAGGCGGTGGGCCTCCGAAAAGTGCCGGGAGCCGTGACAGCCGCGTATGCAGAGCAGGGTAGTTGTGCTGTTCGATCACGATACCAAAACATGGAAATCACGTCATTTTGTTAGTATTTACAGCGTGCAGAAGAAGAAATGCGGGATGTCTGACGCCAGCAGTGCGACTAAGGGTAGGACAGTTGTGACTAGACGAACAGTTTGCGATGTTTCTGTAACGGTATTGTAAACATGTCAAGGTCACGCTTGAGACCCTTCCGTGACGATGTTTAGGATACAATGGCTCGTTGACACACGACCATTGATCCCGATGCGCATTAATTTGACGACATGGCGGTGTGTATGATAATGCGGACTGTTGGTGGTTAGGTAGCAACATCGAGATGTCGGCGGCGATGGCGTAGATAAGAGAAGTTCGAGTCTTGAGCGTAGTGCTTTTAAGTCTTGATACCTAGGTTATCTTACGACCGAAGTATCCGATTTGGTGACCTGTGCGAATTGAACTTCTTTGTAAAACTGAGGACGTTCACAATAGTGTGTTCTTTCCTTCTTTTCGGTTCGGTGATGTGTTTGACACGACGCATTAAGTGTGTCTTCGAATAAATTATGACATCTAATATGCTGTAATCTTATCAGCTACGATCTTGTAAGCTGTCGTCAGCCCAAGCGAATAGTCTTTCTTTCTTTCAAGCGAAAACACAGCGGCGGAGGTGTTACAGAAGTAGAGGCGCCCTCGTTTGCGAGTGTTTCATGCAACGCTCTCTCGATCACCATATGTCCAACTCGTTCGTAATGATCCTCTTTCTCCCAAACAACCATGACAAAGATATCATCGGTGAAATCATCAGATGGAAGATTTTCGCATCTGCCTAGCACGATACCTATCAGACTACCTTGTCGAAAGTCTGGCGCGTAGCTT